GGTGTCCGACGATGTCATCCGCCGAAGCTTTGACAGTGAAAAGGCCATTCCTCAATTGGTGGTGGATAACGGATTCAATTCGGATAAATTTGACTTGACATTTTTCTATTGAAATATATACAATTTCCAAATCACTGTACATATTTTGAACTTAAAACAAATTCGACGCTCCGGGACTTGAACCCGGGGCACACTCAAGACACACAACGTGGTTACCCATTGTGTTTTCGCGTCAAACGCTTACGCTTACAACTTGTCTACGGTATTTATCAATGTTGTTGGAAATTTCTCCTTTTACTCCTTATGACCTCTGTAATTCGTTTCTACTGTGGCCGGAGTTGAACTAATTTCTTTGCACAAACAATGTGGAATATTATTACCTCCAGAAGTGATTAAAATTTTCCTAAGAGGCCGCGATTGGCTAGAAATGATGTCGAACTTCGTAGATATGTGACCAATTAGACACCTTGATTCAGATTGAACTCGAAGACAAGGTGGGCGTTGCATTCCCTCTTTCCCAGTATACCCTGTGCCGAGACTCAAGTAAGATTACCGCAATTAATTCTTTCTTCAAAAGTCGTGTAATTTCAAAACAAAACATTCGAAATCAGAATCACGTACTTCCTCTGTTTCAAAATACTGGTTCAGTTTTAGCGACCTCGAAAATCAATTCTTCACCAATTTCGATGAGTCTAATCACTTTTGAAAGAAAATAAAGAGTTAAAGGGGGTGTCTATTGACTGCAGAGGAGAGAAAGCAAGGTATGGCACCAAAACCATGATTGCTCAAACAGCTTCAGAATAAAATCCAAAATCAATGTTTACCCAAAAAATTGCGGGACGTGAGTACATCAACAGCATGGACATCTTCGTGCGAAAGCTGTGAGCTGTCCTTTCAGGAGAAGTTGGAGGCCATTGCCCACCACAACAAGCCATGTCCACAGGAAAGTTGGTGGGGTGCAATCTTTGCCACAGCACACCACTTAGACATACATCGAGTCACGGTCACACGGGTGTGGAACCATTATCACCGAAACAAGCGTGTCATCACTGACGCCGCACTCGCGGCCGCCTCTCGTGATGGATCGATGTTTCTACTCCGGCGCCAACCGCCCAACCGCCCTGACTTGAATGCCTTGGACCTTGGGTTCTTCGATTCAATCACTACAATACAAGATGGTGAGTTATTGCATTGATGGCATTGGTTCGTTCGACGTTTGCCACTTTTGAAGCACTGAGCATCCAGAAGCTTGAGAATGTCTTCCTGACCTGTCAGGCCATCGTGACGTTTGTACGTGAACACCAAAGCGGCAACCACTTCCGCCTTCCACACCTCAACAAGGACACTATACACCGCGCTGGTACAGTGAGCAACGGTAAAATGTCCCCATGATGCATGGACTGTTGAGCTGGTTGGACGACCACCTTGGGTATGCGGACTCGACTGAGTTGCTTATGCACTTGTTGCGTGAAGTGCTTCAGATCTGCCAAGAGTTTGGTCTCAACTGGGAAGTGTGTGTTTTACACGACCCGTACGATTCGGTGTGGCGAGGAGATCTCGGCCGATTGTGTAGCGCACGCCCCTGGCGGAGTGCAAGGCTTGTGTGACCTGGAGCCACCACAGACGGCGGCAGACCTCCAGCAGTTCCTTTGTGCAACCAACTGGATGCGGGCAAACATCCCCCAGTATACTGAGCTGGTGGCCCCGTTGACCAAGCTTCTGGATATTGCAGCCAAGGCGGCCGATTCCAGAAAGAAAACTGTGTTGTCCAAGGTGGCCCTGAGTTCTGTCGGGTGGTGTGAGGATCACCTGGTGTGTTTTGACCGCGTCAAGGAAACGCTGGAACGAATGGTTCCGTTGTCGCATCCAGACCCGGCCAAGATGGTGTGTCTCTATACCGATGCAAGTGATGGATTTTGGGGAGCGATCGCGACCCAGGTTCCCCTGGAGGACCTCGACTTGCCTGCGTGTGACCAGCGCCATGAACCCTTGGCCTCTGGAGTGGTGTTTTCCGAGGCTCCAGTGAGCGCTGGCCCATCGTTGAGAAGGAAGCGTTTGCGGTGGTGAGTCGTACAAGCGGCTGGAATACCTCTTGGTCCGTCCAGGAGGCTTCTGTTTGTTCACTGACCACTGACCATCGAAACCTGGTCTACATGTTCAACCCCCTGGGTTTCAATACCAACATGGCGAAATATCAAGCACACAAGCTCCAGCGCTGGGCGCTTACGATGACGACTTTCCCATATGTCGTGGAGTGTGTGGCTGGAGAGGAAAACCTTTGGGCAGACCT